CTGTAAATTCACCTGACCTTAATCTTACTGAAAATTTGTGGGAAATATGTAGAGCTAAACTGCAAAAAATTTGACTGTACGACAAAAACAAAAATGGTGGAAGCAGTGATTAAGGTGTGGTTTAGAGATAAAGCAATCACAAACAATTGCAAAAACCTTGTGGATTCCATGCCTAGAAGATTCCAGGAAGTCATAAAAGTAAAAGGGGGACATAATAAATACTAATTAATGTAAAAATCTCATGTAACTGTACCTAAATTTACCTTTGGCCTAAATAAATCATATTTAAAAATCAATTATGTTTGTTCACATTAATTCGCACAATACTGTAAGTCATCTGCATATAAACTTGATTTCAAAGTTAACTTTAACTCTTATGCGATATTATCAATTGCTATTAAGAATAGAGTAGGGAAATGAAACAATTTTTTATCAGTATTTAATTCCAATTTTGTCATACAACATATGTACGTAAGAATCTTATAGCGTTTTCTTTATAAATATAATATATCGTCATACAGGAAACGAGAAATTCTATTTACAGGTTTCTTATCGCTTTGGGAATTCACGAAAATCAATCAACGGAACGCTATTTACGGGCACTCGTAAATAATGAAGAATCCAAAAACACCCGATTATGTATTCAAACCCTAACGACCCAGAAGTCGTTGCGTTTGGCGATTTAGGGTACTTAGTGATTAATAATGAAGACGCGGAAATATTGAACAAAGTAGCACAAACATTAACTAGTGATATAAAAAGTAAGTAACTCATTACAATGTTTCCCATTATAAAAATTATTTTTTATATAAGAACAGGATTGTTGGATTCTTAATAAAGGATGCACATTGGATTGAAAATACAGGAGAAATAAAGATGCTACAAAAACCTATACAAAGAAAGTAGTGTTTTCATTAAAATAAGAATGAGAAGCGTAGGAAACTTATTAACACAAAAAAGGACTGTTACGGGGATGTTCGAGGTCTTACTCTAACGCATGATGCATAATGGAATGCTTCATAGGTAAAGAAAAAGATGTCAACATTTCCGAATGAGGTACAGGACAACAGGACGACAGAGATAAATAGAAAAAGGAAAAGGATTAGTGATGAAGGCAGTGACAAAAAACTGTAGTTGTATTCTTGAATTAATTACAATAAAATTATATTAAAAAAAACTGTAGAATATGGTTTTTAATTCACATCTACATAAACCGTATTCCTAATCTACTAGTAGATCTATACGGCAATTGGGAGACTTTCAACATGTAAAAAGAATAACATTGTATATATAGTAACTGATTTGATAAAGAGGACACATCTAAAAATATAATCGATAATCTCCTTATCAGATAACAAACAAGAGAATCAAAGTAATATTGGCATATTTGAGCTCATATATATAAATATTTTTACTTGTTATTAGGGTCCTATTGTCGATATAGATTTAGATAATATTAAATATCATCAAATAACTAAATACCATACACACATGTACCAAGCAAACAATGTAATCATAGATTAGGTAGGAACTAGTTATGGCTGTTATTTCACTTGTTTAGTAAATAGGCACTTAAACAGACATTTGCTTTGTCTGCTGTTAATTTTCTCCAATTCACATGTCCCCCCTCCTTTTAGAAACCATAAGTTGGTCGTCCAGAAAGTAAAGAACATTTGGTATCAAAAATTAAAAATACAAAATTTAGTTACAGTTCACAGTACCTTTCTACCTCAGAAAGTTATTTCAATGTAGTTGCCTTGAGCATTTCAATGTAGTTGCCTTCATGTTTGAGCTCTCTGACGTTTTCAAACTCATTTTTACCCAAGAATTCCTTCAGTTTCACAGATAATATCGAAAGGTGTGCGATCGGGGCTGTGGAGATGGTGCTTCAAAACTTCCCGTTATTGACGTTGAAGTTCTTGTCAGTGCATGGGCCGAGCATTGCCATGAATCAGAAACACCTTCGTCGATAACATGCCACACCGTTTATTCTCGATTGCACGTTTTAGTCTTTGAACGGTTTCGCAATAGGCTTCGTAATTTATTGTTATGCTCCTAGTCATAAACTCATAATTCTACGTAAATCAAACGCTTAATGTCACAAAAAACAGATGCCATTAGTTTTTCTTTTTTGGTCACTCCGTTCTTCATCATCCTGATTCCATGGATGAACATAATGCTACATTTGCTCAATGAAGATTCGTTTATTACATTCTCACCATAAACAGGATTTATTTGCCTATAGATTTCAATAGGGCGAACATTTTGCTCATTCAAAAACCGAATCACACTGCTTACTTCACATTTGGAGGGATTTTCAATGGGCGCCATTCCAAAATATTATAGAACAGAGACGTGTAACCACACAATAACGAGACTTAGCTCACAGCTCACACTGATGGGACAGACAGAGGTAACTGGAGCGGTGGCGCGCATAAAGTCGTGACAGTGTGAGATTGGCTTCGTTCGTAATCATAATCGTTCTTTACTTTTTGGACGACCGTAGTATTTTGAAATAGTCCAGTCATTAAAATGATTAGTCAAATTTATTTAAATCAAATTAAGAAAAAAAATAAAAGAATTAAGGTGAAAAGAGGGAGAAAACGAGACACCAAGAAATTGAAAGCAGAGTTTAAACATGTGTAAAAATGACTATTCTGACTAGCAGTGGAAAAGGAAGGGAAATATTAATAAATTCTGGGCTGCATATGATTGTTATTGTTGTGATGAATTAGATTTAGGCCATTGTCTAGAAGGAACATTAGTTGAAGAGATTAACATATAGTGATAGATCTTTCTGGAACTGGAAAATCTTTAGAGCTTACGTAATATAATTGCTCTATGGTCAGCGACTAACATCACACGAAACAAGCCTATTAGTACGCCATCTATAACGTGGAATTATTGGAATAAGATTAGTGTGCAACAGTTCGGCTTCAGAAATGGAACGGTTACTGGAAAAGGACAATAAAATTAAAACTATAATCCAAACATTTTAATAAAACCAGAGTGCCATAGTGCATATTGATGGACTAGTCAGAAGAAATGAATATATGTAGGAGAATTGGATAGGGATGCGTCTTAACGCTGCTTTTGTTTAACTTATTCGATCGACTCAACAAGCGAAGAAGTACTGGAGAGGGTTGGCAAAGAAACACAACTAATCACCACTAGACAAACCAGAAAAATGGAACACCTAGGGCACGTGATGAGGAGACCAAAATATGAAATTTTAGGACTCACAATACAGGAAAAGATTCAAGGAAGATCTGTTGGCTAAAGACAGAATTCTTCGTTAAAGAATCTACGTGATTGGTATCAATGCAGATAAATGTTTATAGCAGCAAGTTCAAAAATAAAAATAAGCCATTATGATTGCCAACCTCCGTAGGGAGACGGTACTCTAAGAAGAACGAGCTGTGATCATTGCAATCAGCATATAATATCTAATGGAAACAGCATCTAATAGAAAGCTAAGTATAAATAGTGCTGAGATTGGAATTAAGATAAACGCTAAAAAATGAAATATAAGCTTATTACAAATGACCACAAAATATGGAACAAATATTGACAATAAAGAGTGACGTCATAGAACTTCTTCTTCTTAAGGTGCCGTGCATTTCTGCGTAGGCGTCCACCGTACATCGTCTTGTCAGGTGAGATGTTAAATATTCTGGTTTAAATAATTCTGTTTTTAGCAGCATTGCGAAGCATTTCATAGCTGTGGATTCCTGTCCATTGTCGAATATTGCGCAGCCATGACATTTTTTTACGTCCGAGACCTCTCCTACCCTCTATCTTCCCTTCGAGTATCAGTTGCTGAAAAGTGTATCGTTCTCCTCGTATAATGTGCCCCAAGTATGCAGTCTTCTTACTTTTCACATAATTAAAAAGTTCCCTATCCTGTAAGCCCGCTCTTCTGAGTACTTCCTCATTTCTGACCCTGTCCGTCCATGATATTCTGAGCATTCGACGCAGGCACCACATTTCAAACACTTCAAGTTTGTTAATGGAACTGGCCTTTAACGTCCATGCTTCCATTCCGTACAGGAGAATAGGCCACACGTAACACTTAAGCATCTTGTATCGGAGGTTGAAGTCCAATTTGCGATCAGTCAGAAACTTACGAAGCCTCAAAGAAGCGTCATAGAACAAGTAGAACAATATCAGTACTTGGGAACGGATCAATTAAATAGATGATCATACCTCAGAAAGAAATAGACCGCAAGATCAGCATTTATACGAATGAAGCCGCTTCTAAAGTGCAGAATACGCATCTCTCAATTTGGAAGTAAGAATACGCATCATTAGATGCTATATATTTTCAAATTTATTATACGAAGCTGAGACACGGACATTGAAAAAATGTAACTTAAATTGAATCGAGGATTTCTGATTATACTAAATAGAATATTAAAAATATATTAAAGACGTGCTAACGAGTACTGGAAAATAAACAGAACTAATCACATTACAAACAGCAAAAATAGTCATTATGATTGCAAAACTCCGTAGAAAGACAGCACAAGAAGTCGTTATCTGTATACCTAGGATTTCGTAACCATTAGAACGATGGTAACTATTTTAATCCATGTTATCTTGTCTACCACTGATATAGACAACTCCATCTATGTTTTGTTGTTCCACTGTAGTATATTGTTAAGCAAAACTTTTCCTCAAACTTCAGTTCATAAACTTTCTTTTCTAACGTTTCTACAATCGTTCACACCTAACCGTAAAACTCATCACAAAGCACAAATAACAACTTGAATACTAGATTTCGTATATATTTTATTTATGGGAGTATATATTTTAAAAGTTGTAGAAGATAGATCTTGATTCTCGTGATTTTTGTGTCACAAGTTTGACTTAAATTGCATACCAGGTACCTTATTTTCACCACTCCTTTTCTGTTTTTTGTTAATGTCTTATGATGTTTTTACTGATAATAATATAATCTATAAGCGAATAAAAAGTATCCACGATAAAAAAATAATTACCTGTACAATGAATAAGTAGAGCTGTCTTGGATGTTACCAGAGATCAGTACAGCTATGACCAGACCGTAGATGGCAATGATACCCGCCATGACAACTGGGATAATACATTTCATGATAAGTTCCGGCCTCATGACGGACATAGCGGCAATACCGGTTCCTGACTTGGCCGTACCATAGGCGGCGCCCAGCGCTAAAACATAAGATTCACATTAACTCCAATATTATGAACAACAAAAAGTATCCAAACTTAAGTTTAATTATTTAACTATTATTATTATAATTATTTAACTACATGTACTATATGAAGTATAAATAAAAAGAATTACGCCTCTTTCAATACAGATTTTATTTAAACGTTTCCTACAAAGTACGTTTGTAGAGATAAAAATCTTCATAATGTTCATCCATATCTAACTCACCTATGTGTCTGTCATGTCTCCATTAACTATTCGCGATTGAAAACAAAGTATCTGACCTCTGACGGAATAAATTTAAACTATTAAAAGTTGTATAAACAAACCAGACAGCTGTATTTCAATAGAATTATTAATTTTTTAGTAAATTTCAGCATTATGACTACGTTAAAGTATTTTAAATCATATCGATATTGTTCTGTTCCTCAATGCAATTCAAGATCGACAAAAGATATTTCCCTATTTCTCTTTCCTAAACTGGAAAACTTAAGAAAAAATGGTCTGGTGCTTTAAAGATCGGAAAGAAAGTAACAACTAATATGTAAGTTTGCAGTCTACGTTTTCTTAGCAGTGACTTAATTTTACCAGGTTAGTAATTAAATAATAACATATTTTGATTTATTGATAATATCCCAAAACACATGTTTATAAATCAAACAAATACTTTGATTCTAATGTCAGATATCTTGCAGATGTAACAATAAAGAGAAGAAGGCTGAAGAAAAATGTTATGTGATCCCAAAATTGACCTCAAAGTTCTGTCATTACAAAAATCAATAACTATACATTTGACTTACGTTGTTTCATTGTACCATGTGTTTGTTTATACCATTTATATCGGCCATGACTGCAATCGACGTGCCCTCTACATTCAGTTTCAATCGCGAATACTACCTCCTATATGACATTTCATGGTATGACGTATAAATCATCACATTATCGCGGGGCATACGAATAAATGTATTATTTCAATGAAAATTACGATTTCTTTTATTTAAGAACTGTTGTCTTTAATAATGAACACCAATTTCCCTTTATTTTGATAGTATAGCAAAATAAAGGGAAATATTTAACTCTTTACCACATTTCCAAAGAACACTTTCGCCCTTTATAAAATTATTCCATCTGACGCATCTCAAGCTCTCTAAAGAAAATAAAATCTTATAATTAGACATTAGGTCAAGAACTATACTGTAGAATTAATTTATTTTTGTTAAATCGACAGCGTACAAACATATATTTTATGGTTTTAATTGGCAACACTCTGGCCATTATATTGTATTGTTTACATATTTCCCCGAACGATGAATCAGTTATCTCAGTCTACACACCGTACACAATAGATAATCTTGAATGCGTCGTAGGATTGTTTTGAAAACAGTTATCAAATTGTTGATTAACAAAAGTGGAATGTACATCAAATATTCGATTGGTGCCCCTAACGGTAATTATTCGTCTTTATATAAATAATGGTGCTGCAAATATTTGTTTATAATCGCTTGTATTAGGATAAGATGTACACAAACTTTCCAGAAAAACCACAAATTTTTAATACACTACTTAAACTTATTATATCGAAAGAAGAATATTAGGACAATGTAGTATGTAATTGAAAAATTACAAATTGCGGTTAAGAACCTCTACCCCGCACAAAGATAAAGGCAAAGAGAATGCTGATTATCTATAAGGAATATAGTGCCAAAGAATTAATAATTTACGGAATAATTTTAAATGATGTAAATATTACCGGGAACTAAGCTATAATAGATTAATTCCATTATAAAGCACAGGGAAAACACAACTTCTGATATAAGATAATTTAAATAAAAAGAAAAGTATTACAGCCTAACATATTTCTTTGTCGACAAAACAAACTTCTCTCTTACCACTGCTCTGTATCTATTTCTTTCTCGGCAAACATAGTCTAGCCCTGTACTGTATCTCCCTTAGTTATATTTGCTTTACCGACAAAAAATTCAGGTTTCACTAAATGTCTTTTTAATGTTTTTTACCTCATAAATCTCTCAAATTTTATTAGAGCCTAAGAAAAGTGATTATTTATGTAATATTATGGCGCTGACCCGTGGCTACAAAACAAACAATTTGAACCTAACCTTTCACACCTGCATATAAAAATCAGACTGTTTGTATATATATATATATATTATATATATATATATATATATATATATATATTATATATATATATATATATATATATATATATATATATATATATATATATATATATATATATATATCCGGTTTTTTTAGGCGTTACGCCTGTCCGGTAGGGATCTATGGAGGAGTATCACCAAGCCGCAAGCCCTTATCTCTTGCCGTACTGCTCCACCATAGGCCGATCAGATCCCAGCATATCCTAGTCTAAGCCGCAGATTCATCTAGAATTTTAAACTGCTGCGTTAGACTTTTTGTTTTCTGTACACCGAGCTTGGGCTCGATCCCACATCCACTAAACCATTCGACAGTGAAGCGAATGAGAGGCAGCCGCACAGCCCGCTGAGCTATCTGACGAGCTATCTGTTTGTATATATTATTTACACAATATCTGAACAGCCAAACGCTAGGGCTCAGTTAAAATTCTTTTTATGGTTATGAAGAAATCATTTAAACCACACACACCTGCATTTTTTATCGTTCTATTCTCACCAAAAGCACGTATTCAGTGGGACAATCACATCTTGCGCTCTCATATATTCTCTAATCCTTAGTGGGACAAACTAATAACGCGCTCTCTACATATACTCTCTCGTACTAAGGACAATATCGCGACGCTCTCACATAGGTATCACACATTATCTCGTCGTTAGTGGGAAAATCACATCTCGAGTATAAGAATTGTTTCGCACTCTCAGAATAGCATATTTTCTATTTCCTAAGTCAGAACTATACCTTGCTTCGACAAAGATCCATTATAAATCGGAGTCTTTATAATCAACCACTTACAAGTTTGGTTCTTGTCTTGTTCATCCAAAAAAGTACATCCATAACAGAAACATTTTCGTATTGAATTCACATATATAACATGAAGGTTAATAGTCTTAACGTTCTATTTTTTTGACCTTACGCTATTTTGTTTCTCAATAAAAACATCAAGAACCATCTGCTACCTCAATAATACCCGTAATCCAATTAAATGCTATTACTACCGAATTATTAACTAATCGGATAAAAATGGCATTAACAGATTAATAAACGGCGCCCCTTTATTGTATTATTATTATATACTACAAAGAGCGGATGATTTATGAAGTAAGCTCTCCGCCTAGTGTATTTAAATGTCTCTTGAACTGAAAGATTCCTCTAATAATTTCTGTTCTGTTTATTTGTAACCAAAATAACCCATCGAGATTAATTTTAGAAACGGCAGATATTTAAAACTAAATTTTGTCTATGACGTCAGACTAATAGTTCTTGGTTTCTATTAATTACCTATATCCTGATCAATTTTAACTGGGGACTGGTCGAAAACACTAGCCAAACTAAAAGTGAGATAAATATGTTTTTATAATTCAATGTGTTTTTTTATAATTAGAATCAAAATGACACAATTATATTAGTAAATAAAACTACATATATAGTTAAGTTAAAGAAGCAGAAACATGAATGTTTTTGAAAGAATTTTTTTCGAAAAAAAAACCTTTCTGTAAGAATTGGTATCAACAGAAGTCTTATAACGTTATTTCTGCATCCTGACGTCAAAAGAGACTCAAGCTGACACAAACTCACACAGAGAACGGCCATCAAAAGTCTCTTACTTGTATGATTATTGTTCTGTTCTAGGAGGTTGTTGAATTTATTTCTATATACTATATGTATGCTATATGTTGTTTAAGTCAGAATTGGATATTTTTGAATCTATCAGAATTTGAAAGAAGTATCAGGTTTTGACATCAATAAAAAAAATGTAAACAAAAGACGATATTACGAACTAGCCACTTCCGGTTGAAAACTGGGGTAAATGACATGTTCGTGAAGAGTTACTGTTTACGTTCGTGCCTCACAGTTGTGGCGTGAAGTTATAAACAAAGATCGAATAATTATGAGACAGACCAAACATATCTAACACTTTTCGTGATTATACATTGTTTATTGAGATAATATACACCTTAATAAAAAACATTTCCGGTTATTTAAGTAATTTTTAAATCGACCATGGTATGTAGAGAAAAAGGTTCAACCACAAGTTATACAATATTATAAAGAATAGCAAATTCCAGATAATACCAGATCACCTAGTATATATAGTGGAACTATGGTGGGACGCCGGCCAATAGAAAGACCAAGGAAGAGGTGGATGTACGAGATGTGAACAGATGCTAAAGAGATATTGAGAATTGATAACTGGAGGAGAGTAGCCAAGAAAAGGGATACTTGGATGGGGAGTGGATGCTCGAATTGGGGTGTATATTTGATCGAGCGTCTTACAATTATTTCGTTAAAAACTATAGTACGGTAGGTAATTTTGCTACCCATATAACACTTTGTTTTTATACACAATATAATTAAGTAAAAACTAATTAATTTAAATAATAACTGTAAGCGTTGCTTTAAGTGAATAGTATTTATTTTAAATAATACCTTGTGATATAATCTTTCTCTAGTAGCTCATTATTATTTTGTACACATAGAATTCATTTGAATACATTAAATATATAATTTGTTAACCACTGACTACTTCTGTATTTCGTATATTTATGACATTCGTTCTGTGATTGAAGTTACTTACAGTATTAATATAAGGGTACTAAAATATTGTAATGTAAGGGCTGTAACGTCAAGGCGTAATATTAAATGGTATATAGATACGTTTAAAATATCCAAAAAACTGAAACAATAATAAAGATTAGAACTAAATGCCCAGAATCCATTGACAAGAAAATATTTAAAGTCGGGATATGACAGAACGTGGAGTAGCGTTCTTCATCGACGAATAGAAATAGAAAACACATACTAGAAAAAGACAATGTAAATA